ACACAACTTTATCCACCTGTACAGTATACTCACATTTAACAATATATACTATATAGTAAATCTCAACTGCTTGATTTTATAGATCATCACAAAATGTAACTATATTGTCGCTCAGCGATATATTTAAGATGACTGATAGCTGACAATGCACATCAAGAACTATTTAACAGGGACAAAGTTTTAAATGTTTAAGTTTCAAAGCAATATATACTATATAGCAAATCTTAACTGTAAGATTGCTTTATCGTCGCAAAATTTTACACATATTATCACCCGGCTATATTCTGCTAAATTGTGACTATAAAACATTAAGATATTAAGATATTACAGACATTAAAATCATGATTTGCTTTAGAGCTGCTTTGAAACAATGTATTGTGAAAAGCACTATACAATTAAAACTGACTTGACAAGATGAACAGATAAGACTTATATCAGATAGATTAAACTTACCTTAACTTTCACCATGCGTTTAACAGTCTTGATTTTTGCCTCGCAGAAGGCACCACGGTACTTTGCGCTCACATCCGTCCCCACAGTCAGGTAGGCAGGTTCATCTGCTACCTGTGGACAGTGTAAATATCATTAAGGCGCACAGACAAATTCATACCAATACTTTCTCTCTGCATAGTTATGGTTATGACAAGCGTGTGCAACACATCTAAGAATACTTTAAAAAGTAACAGCAACAGCACTCAAATGTTATGAAAACTACCCTTTTGGTTATTCTGAAAGCACCTAACGTTACACAGTCCGACTACCCCAATCATTGAACTACTGAGCTTTTCTGATCACAATATCTATAAAAACCCCATCCATACGTGATTCATTCATTGAAGTGTTTTGTTCCAGATGCTTGTTAGGCTTCATTTAGGGAGGCGTCGCCTATCAGAACTGCAGAGGACCACAGACTCACCTTCATCTTGATGGCTATTTGAGGGAGTCCAGCTCGAATGGTTTTGACTGCTGAAACAGAACAACACACACGCATAAAGAAACAGAGTCACGATCTGGCGCCATGTGCTAAAAAACGTGTCATATGTAACGTTATACGTGTGAAGGATTTGACAGCACAAAACAAATACACACAACAGAGAAAATGCTAAAGCAGCTAACGCGGCTAGCCACTTCTCGTCCTCCTCCCTTCAAAATGATCAAATAAACAATACCAACCCATCAAAACACACCTTTAACTGCCTCACCGTGACTTTACCTCCAATCCGAGCCACTTATGATGTCTTGATGGTGTAAAAACAAAGCACGGAGTCACTGAAGGAAAACATAACCCCTTCAAACCCTGCGTGTTTCCTTCCCGCTTTACTCACAGCCCCTCCACCATCCACTAACCCCACATTTCCCTCACTTAACACTGTATTTGCCGAGGTATCGAGTTCGAAGATCGACAAACTGACAGTTATGACTGTTATTGACGCCTGTCAATCAAATTGTGACGGTTAAGCTAAATATAGTGAAGCTGTTATGGCGATTTAAACTGTTCGTCGGGTTAGTTCCGCAACATTTACGTGAGGCGACTTTTCCCTTCAGACTGAGTTACAAGTTTTTGGCTATAAACAGGTCAATTTCTGGTGGTTAGTTTAAGGAAAAGTCGTCGGCTAAATCCCGGATCCTATGAGAAAACAAGCCGACTAGCTGTGACTAGGCTCTGCCATTCAATTTTTTTCTCTTCGTCGCCTAAATGCCTTCGCTGGAAACCACGGGAAAACGACAAACATGACTGGATTACTTTCAGACTAGCGAGTTTACATAAAACGGACGAGAACATACGGGTTTAATGACGCGAAATCGGTGTTTGAATGTGGTGTGGAAATATATATGTGTACTTACATGCTCCTATATGACTGCTTCAGCTCAGCATTCGACTAGGTTGCAAAGGCATAGGACGAAATAACAAGCTGTTGAGCTGAGGTTGTGTTTCTCGGATCCCTATTGGCTGCCGGGGCCACTGTGGGCAAATTCCGACCATTGCGATTGGCTGCCCGCTAAGCAAAATTCTATTGGCTAAACTGAAGCGCGTAACCTGATTGCGGAGTACGAAAGCGGCGCTGCGAATTACGCTTTCTCATTGGTGTTCTTTGATTCTCAGTCTTTGCAAATACAACAGATCCACGCTGATCTCCGATTGGCTACATGTTTCCTGTTCTGCGTTGTCCACGGTTTTGATTGGTCGAATTGACTCGGAAGCGTCCCGACTGCGAAGCCCATTGGCTGAAAGGATGTATGGGAACGGAGCTTCAGTTCAGAGGGAAAGCCTCTGCTCAGTCTGCGCATGCTGAAGAGAAGAGAACATTCGCCATTTTGTACCCAACGTAATTATTTTCGCATTCTGGAGCCCGTGAGATTTCGTGGTGAGCCCTGTGACTTATTTTGTCTGCTTTTCTAGTCAGACCGAATAACCTCAGCATCGTTCTAGCTTAAATGTGTTCTTTATGTGATTCGTATTACAATTGTTTTACCAATAAATAATTTTAAGCGCGGTCGTCAAGAAAAGATCAATTGAACGCAACGGTAATGGCGTCTTTATGTCGTTGCTGTGGAGAACGTCTGGCGTCATGGGTTTGTTACCCACGTGACCGGAACAGCGCGCCAAAGTAAGCATGTGTGACTCAATGACACCTGCGGGGTTTCAAATGATTATGCATGATTAGATTGTTACTGAAATGCTCACTTAAACGTGACATTGAAGCATTGCGATTCTGAATCAGAAATGGGATCAGAGAGCACTTTGGTTGGATATTTTAATGATGTGTCTGTATGATATATATTAAGGAATATGTGTTTGATTTAGTGTTTAAATACATCAGCAAACGCGACTGGACCGATAAAATCATATGCTTCTTGTATTAATAGTTATTAAAATGTGTAATTCTAATGTGTAAACCGGATCAGAAAATAATCTATACTTGTGAAATGTTGATCCATTTGTATACAATGACTGTGTACTGTGCATATTGTGTATCAATCAATAAATCTGTCAGTTTTCATATGAATTAACCAGCTTATACATGAATCAGTGAGCACACATTACATAAATGCATGGAAAAGCAACATTTAGACTCTTCCTGTCACATAAGAGGTAATATCCAACACATAGGGCTAAAATAGAAAGAAATAGAAATACAAAGCTTTGGCCTCAAACGCTAAGAAAACTCCACAAAGATACCACAGTAACTGTATGCACTGCCAGTCAAACGTTTAGATGAATTTAGGCTTTTCATAATCTTAAAAACATTTTATTTAAAGGCTTCTGCTTAAATGTTTGAAACTAGTATTGTAGAAAGTATGCTTAAGTGACAAATGGTCTTGAACTTTGATCACAAGGCTATACTTGTACCTCCACATTTGTGTAAATCTTTATTCATATCAATATCAGTGGATTACCCTCAGAACTGCTGTAGTGGGAAGTATGTTCATTAAAGTATCATGTTCAGCCTAGTCACTTTTTTTAACTCTAATATTACAACATGCAGGCATGCTTGGGTTACAATATGATGGATAGCAATTTTAAGTAAATTATAACATACTGGGTTTTGCTTTGAGGCTCCATATGTTGATGGCTAACTGTAAGTTCAGGGTCAAGTCCTTGCAGTGTATTGCAGATAAACTGTTTATCTATACCCAAATGCATGTTGTATTTAGTGCCTTATGCCGAACCTAGTAATATTCACATTCTTCTGACAGGGTGTGCAACAAGCACCTCATGACTACACCACGTTATGTACGAGAAGCTGCAAAAGACACAGGCGCAAGTGGAATTTACAAAACATGGTGACATTAATTTTTAAGTAAATATAATGGGCGATATATTGTGTCACCAAAAATTATTGAGGTCATGTACATATATTGAGCGATAAGTCGATATATTGATTGCGACAGGCCTAGTCCCAACACCTACAGTACCAGGATGATGAAGATAAAAAAAAGGGTGGACAATGACTACGTTTACATGAGTTGCTTTTAGAATATTCCTTACATGTTCCCGTTTTACATGTTATAGTACATAGTTGGATTAATGGCACACGTCATTACGTCCCACGTGACGCCATCCGACGTCCCCTCCGGAAATTCACGTATAAACATAGTTCGTCTTCGTGATGATGCCATGTACAGTTTTGGGTGTTTCATGTTTAATTTTATGTAAGCTTCAAGTGCAGTTAATTATTTGTACGTGCATACAGACGACGGCGGGTGTTGAAACTCTTTTATTTGCCATCAAACGGTTGGCCACTGCCGTGTGTGTATCCTGTCGCAAAATGCGGCGAGAAGTCCTACACGACGGTAATAATGTGATTAAGGTGTGTACATGTCTATTCTGCACTTCAGTAATGCGACTAAAATAGGAATACTCCACGTCTTAATTCGATTTCTGTTTACTTCGATTATGACTTTAGCCGGATTAAGGTAATCAAAAATCTGTTTACATGGTAGATTCTTAATTCTTAATCGTATTAAAATCCAGAGTATTGTTGTCCATGTAAACGTACTCCGTGATCCCAAACACAGCCAAAGAAACTCTCGATTGGTTTCAGAAAAATAATATAAAGCTGCTAGAATGGCCCAGCCAATCATCTGACTTGAATTCAATAGAAAATAAGAACTAAAGATCAGAGTTCATAGAAGAGGCCCACAGAACCTTCAAGATTTGAAGACTCTGTGGAAGAATGGGCCAAAATCACACCTGAGCAATGCATGCCACTAGTTTTCCATACAGGAGGCACCTTGAAGCTGTGATTACTAGGGCTGGGTATCGTTAAAAAAATTTCGATACCGATACCTTGACTTCGATACTGGTTTAGACGGCAATCGGAAGTTATTACAAACACTCGATGGTGGTTTAAAGTGAGTTTTGAGTAGAAGTGGAATATAAATCTTATTTATTGTCTTATGTAGCATGATGCTACAGTTTGCATGAATGGTCACATAACACGCGCTTTCGGTCATGTAACGTTAGTATGAATGGACATCTGCATATGATCGGAACTCTACGCAGCTCCCGTGCTACTCTCCATTGGAAATGCTTTTCCAATAGCACAGCCCCAGTAACCCTAAAAAACAGACACAAATATTAATGATAAAGAAAATACATGTACAGGAGGATCAGGTCAATAAAAAACAATGTGTAATCTACATTGTCACTGAATATTGGTTCACATGTATGCTGGACACTTTTTTGCTGCTTTTCCATCAC